GTCGAGAACCGCTAAAAAATTTTCGTGTTAATATTTCGTATTAATAAAATATTCTCAAAATAAATAAACTTTCAATAGGAATATATACTTAACATACTTGAAGATAACAAATAATTAAGAATTAAGAATTGAAAACATAAACAAATTTAAAGAAAAAAAGAAAAAGAAAAACGGTTCCGTTATGAATATATAGATGCGTTATACAGTTTTAAGATATCTTTAGCACAATTGTTAAACTTTTTGTTAAAGGTTTTGTTATACAGTTTTAAGATACCTTTAACAAAAGTGTTAGACAACTATTTACAAATTGTTAAATTATAAAGTTTATTAATGCAGTGTTAAATATAAAGTTAAAAAAAGAAACAAAAAATTAAAAGAATATAGATATATCATCTATTAAAAAAATGACTTTTTTAAGTTTTTGTTTGAAAGAGTGATAGCTAACTTCTTGAGAAAAGTCAAAATTCTTTAAAACTATTTTATTCCAAAGTAATGCTCCTCGAAATGAAATACAGTATTTTCCAGAATTAGTTTGATAAGCTGATTGACGAATATTATTATCATTTCGTAAAATGTACTTAGTTTTTCTTTTTTGTTATACAAATTATGAAAAGGTACAGGAGAAATATTGATTTTACATTTAAACATAAAACATATAACGTTAAAAATATTAGGCTCATATATATTTAAGACTTTCATTTCAATTAATAGAGGCTTGGCATGAGTAAATCGATCCTTAAAATTAATAAGGCGTGCAACATGTTTCTGTTGACGATAAAGAGGTTCCAGTTTACTTTTATTAGTACTACCCCACGCAATGTTCGCATAGTTAATGTGACAATGAATGAGCGAACAATATAGTTTAAGTAATGTATGTTTATTTAAAAAACACCTTGCTTTGTACAAAATTCCTATGCTTTTTGATATTTTACTACTCAAATTTTTTATGTGACTTTTCCATGACAAATTTTCATCAATATAAATACCAAGAAAGTTTGTAACTGTTACTTTTTTTAGAAGTATATTATCAATAAAAAGCAGTGGCATTTCATTTGGTATAAGATTTTTTTTGTGATTTAGATGGAAAAAAATCCATTTCGTTTTATCAATATTAAGAGACAGTTTATTTGTCTTAAACAATCAGAAATTCTTACTAGCTCATTATTGATATTCTGAAATAACAATGTAATATTATTATGAGATAAAAATAAGTTTGTGTCATCTGCAAACATAATCGTCATTAAATTTGAGGCTTTATGGAGATCGTTGATGTAAATAAGAAAAAGAAGAGGCCCTAATATTGATCCCTGAGGAACTCCACAGGTTATATCAAGCAACTTTACTGGTGAAACTACATCAACGTATACAAATTGCTTTCGATTATTTAAATAGCTTTTTAACCAATTTAAAACACTTCCGTTTATACCGTAAATCTTTAGTTTATTTAAAAGAATATTGTGGTCTATTGTATCGAAAGCTTTAGCTAAGTCAATAAAAACCCCAACTGGGAGTTTTCAAAAGAGTTAGTAATACTTCTTGTAAACTGGAGAACTGCGTGTTCTGTCGAGTTATTTTTTTTGAATCCATATTGATTGCTATATATTAAATTGTTTACAGATAAATGATTATAAATTCTGTTGTATAAAATTCTCTCCAAGACTTTTGAAAATGCAGATAGAATAGAAATGGGACGATAGTTGCTAACATTAGTTAAATCACCTCCTTTAAATATCGGAATCACCTTTGCTATTTTTAGTTGGTTAGGAAAAATTACTTGCCTAATAGAACAAGAAAAAATCTTAAAAAGTACATCTTTAATGATTTCATATGATTTAATAACAATATTTACATTGATACCATCCGCACCTGCTGATTTGTTGGGTTTTAGCATTTTAAAAGCGCATTCAAACTCTTCAAAAGTTAGTTCAAAAGAATTAAATTGCGATGTATTAGGGATAAATAGATTACTTATTGGATTAATTGCTTGATTAATTTTTTGGGATAAATTTGGTCCAACAGAAACAAAATATTTATTCAGCTCGTTAGCTATCTCTTCTTTATCATACAAAAATTTATCATTTGATTTGATGGTTTTAGGCAATGTGAGTGTGTTCATTTAAAACTGCCTGTGATTTCCTTTATAACTTCCGATGTGCGCTTAGAATTTAATTTATATTTCTCAAGTAAATCATTGTAATAATTTTTTTTAAGATTTTTTCTTTGACGTTCGAATTGTTTGGCGTAACTTTTATATATATAGCTTTACTTTTATCTGTTTTTAGCTTTAGGAATTTAATGTACAATTTTTGTTTGATTTTGGATGATTTTCTTAACCCTTTAGTAATCCATGGGGATTTTATACTTTTTAATTTACAATGTATTTTGATTTTTGGAAAATTAACATCATATATATCAAAAAAAGTTTTAATTTGTTGTAAGCCAGGTTAGCATCATCTAAATTGGAAATGTGCACCCAATGAAGAAGAGACAATTGCTCTTTAAATGTTTCCAAATTCTTTTCATTAAAAATACGTTTAACAAAAATTTGATTTATATTTGGTGACGTTTCCATTTTAGTATTAATGGAAAAGAAAACAGGGTAGTGATCAGAAATGTCACTTTTAATTATGCCTTTTTTAAGAGATTCGTTAAATAAATCAGTTGTTATTATATTATCAATCAGGGAAGATGTTGATTGAGTTATTCTGGTTGGTTTGGTGATTAGTGGAACCGCACCATTTTCAAAAATGTCATTATAAAAACTTTTAATGTTGGGTTTTACGTAATATTCGAAGCAACATAAATTTAAATCACCTATTAAGTAGTTAAATTTCTTTTCATGATTGTTTTTTTTTAATTATATCATGATGTAAATATGAACTAAAACTTTCAATTACACCAGATGGTGGGCGTTAACAACAACTAATTATAATATTTTTCGCTTTTTTAATAATTAATTCAATATATATATATATATATATATATATATATATATATATATATATATATATATATATATATATATATATATATATATATATATATATATATATATATATATATATATATATATATATATATATATATATATATATATATATATATATATATATATATATATATATATATATATATATATATATATATATATATATATATATATATATATATATATATATATATATATATATATATATATATACTCTTGCATGTCTCTCGCATGGCATCAAAAAAAGTTTCCCATAAACTGTAGTTTTGAAGAGCGCGTTAATAAACCAGACCAGAAAAAGTTTTGAAAATTAATTTTTTTTTTTTAATTGATAGACTGCCTGGCCAAACCAAACCCTCAGTCGATGTAGCAGCACTCTCTTGCAAGTCAGGCTATTTGTCAGTCGTTTTAGCAGCACTCCCTTGCGAGTCAGGCTATTTGTCAGTCGATGTAGCAGAATTCCCTTGCGAGTCAGGCTATTTGTCAGTCGATGTAGGAGCACTCCCTTGCGAGTCAGGCTATTTGTCAGTCGATGTAGCGGCACTCCGTTGCGAGTCAGGCTATTTGTCAGTCGATGTAGCAGCACTCCGTTGCGAGTCAGGCTATAAGATAGTCGATGTAGCAACATTTACGCATGTTTTAAAAATGTTTTTTATTAAATCAATAAAAAATTAAAAACAACAAACACCACTAATTAAAAAAACTTTCTAGTCGTTATAATTGCGGTTTTTTAAAAAAATTTTAAAAAACAATTAAATTCAATGTACTTCCGCATAAATTAATTGCTTTGACATTTCGATGACAATCAAAAACAGCTTAAGAAACGAGGTAATTAAAATTATAGTCGAAAGAGACTTTTTTTACATTAAACGACTCTTATATTTTACATACTTTTTTTACGTTAAACGACTCTATATATATATATATATATATATATATATATATATATATATATATATATATATATATATATATATATATATATATATATATATATATATATATATATATATATATATCGATAGTCGTCATCGCGCCGTAGTCGCAAGCAGAACTGGGCCAGCATTGGGATATTATA